AATATTCAGGAAAAGAATCACAGCCCAAGGGCAGAAGTGGTGTGAGGCTTGGGGGGTGGAGGGGGTGCGATTCTGGGATTTATAATAACCCATCTAAATTCATGGCTGCTACAGGAGAAGGATGGGTGAATGAACCCCAAGTCTACAGGCAGTGAGGAAAGTACAGGAGGGGAGTTTGGGGGAGCTTGGTGGCTGTGGGGTCCTCCCCAGCTCTGTGGCCCTCCTACCTGAGGCCCGGCAGAGGAGCAGACCATCCAGGGGCCAGCACATCTTGTTAGGTTTGCAGGTGGTTTGGAGGCAAGTGATGTTGTTGTGAACAGAGCAGGTGCAGAGCCTGGTGCAGGTGTTCTCTGTGTACCAACTCTCCCCGACCTGTGGGGCACAGGGATCAGTAGCGCCAACCGAAACTCAGAAGCTGGAGGTAAATGAGGACCTCCAGGAGCCCCCTCAAGGCTCACTGCATTGGATGGTTCACCTCCATCTCTAGCCTTCCTCAGCCATTGGCATCTGGACTTCCTCTCCCCCACCCAGCCCTGGCCTGCCCTGCCCCTGCTCAGGCTCTGGAACCCTCCTGCTGCTTTGTCTGAGCTTGTTCTGCCCCCAAACGTGTGGAGCTGGAGAGGACAGGGCACCCCCTGCGGTCTGGCCTCTCACCAGGTGGTAGAAGCCCCTCGGGTCGGTGCAGCCACACTGGCTGAGGGGCACACAGGTGGTTCCGCTCAGGATGTAGCCTTTCTGGCATTCACAGCCCTCGACACAGGGCAGTGCTGTGGGGCAGTCCATGGGGGCATCCAGGCTGAGGCAGGTGGCTGGGCAGGGGCTGGTGCACGGGCTGTAGCTGCTGCCAGACGGGCACCTCAGAGCTAAGAAGAACAAGAATGTCAGGAAGAGTGAGTGGCATTTCCAGCTCCCCGCCCTTGAGGCATTGAGAGTTCCTGGGAATGTCCACTCACAGATGAACAGATCAAAACACCGGGGTCTATCCATGCAACAGAATACTATTCAGCCTTGAAAAGGAAGGACACTGACACAGGCTACAACATGATACTAAGTGAAATAAGCCAGTCACAGAAAGACAGATACCAAATGATTTCTCTCATATGAGGGACGTAGAGGAGTCAAATTCATAGAGACAGAAAGTAGAAGGGTGGTTGTCAGGGACTGGGGGAGGGGGCAGGGGGAATGGGTGTTTCATGGGTGGGGAGTTTCTGTTGGGGAAGAAAAAATTTTGGAGATGGATGGTGGTGATGGTTCAAGGACAATGTGAATGTACTTAATGCCACTGAACTGTACACTTAAATATGGTTAAAATGGTAAATTTTATGTTCTGTATATTTTACCACAATTAAAAGAGAAAAATGTTCCTGGGAAAGAGAGGAAGAAAGGGAACAGAGCTGGTGCAGGTAAAGAGGAAGGAGGCAGTAACCAAACGGAAGCAGAACTTTCTGGTGAGGTGAGAATCAGATGGAGGAGGCTCCTCATGCAGGGAGAGCAGTAGAGGATGGGGGCTGGGCCTGGAGAGAGGCGGGAGTGGAGAATGGATGATGGAAGGGCCCATGTAGTGCCGGGAACAGAAGAGGAGCAGAATTTCAGGGAAGAAAGAGAGGACAGGGCTCCGGGGGGCTCCAGCGGGCTGCAGGAGTGGGTAGCCAGGTCACTCACGGCAGAAGGTGCTGTTCCGCCACATGGGGGCCTGGCCGGCCTGGGCGCACAGGGACGCGTAGGCCTGCAGGGAGCGGCACAGGGCCGTGGTGTCGCCCTTGGTCCCACACTGACCGTGAACGCAGCTGGTGAAGCTGGAATGGGGGGGCACCACCTGGTGGCACTGAGAAAAGGGTCCTGGAGGATGAGACAAGGCAATGGGGAGAGAGGAGGTTGAGCCTGGAAAAGGAGCAAGACCACATGGCTTCTCTGGGGCTAATTCGGCATCCACTTCAATCCCAACCCTGATTTATGCAGAGCCTACTGCCTGAGGCACAAAGAAGGACCAGTCAGTCATAGCTCCCAAGGGAGTGACCGCTAGCTGGCCCTGAAATCCCATCTGCCTTGCTCCTGACCATCCATCTGTTTGTGATCTCTCTCTTTCTAACCCCCCATGACCGATCTCCCTCCTTGGTCTCCTGTCCCGGGGGGGGCAGGGGGAGGAAAAAGGGCCAGCCTGGGATGTGTCTTACCCAGAGGGTTCATTAAGATCTCACAGTTCTTCTTCCAGGCGTCTGCCATGTTGTCCCTTTTGCAGCTGGAGAGTTTGCCACCCATGTTGAAGCAGCTGGATGAGGAGAGGAGGAAAAGACAGAAACTTAGGGCCAGAAGAACCTTCTCCAAAACCGAAGCAAATGTCGAGAGGGAAACGAGGAGGGGTCTAAGAGAAGAGGACAAAACGGCTGGGAGAGGCAGCAGGAAGCAACAAGGCTAGATCTCAGTGTGGACTTGTCCCAGGCGGGCTCTCCAAAGAGATCAATGAGCACAGGAGAAATCAGCAGGCATGGGCATAAGAAGTCAGACAACTTTTCACAAACTCTAATCTCAAAGAGAATAAAGGGGAGAGACCTGGTCCATTTCCAGCCCGTAGGGAGTACAGCCCAGAGGGAGCAAGGACACGCAGGGGACACCTCCAGGCTGCCCCCTGAGGCTCTTCGCCATGCCCAGCTCCTCCTTGCCTGGCTCCCCCATCCCCAGCTCACCCAGGTTCAGAGGATTCAGGTATCTTCCAGGCAGCTCCCAGCTGGAGTGAGCTGCCTGCAGGCTTTCTATCTGGGAGCAGATTGTCATCCAGGCTGTTGTTGTTGTAGTTCCCTGGAGGAGGGAGCACTCTATAGAGCAGACCTGGTTCCGGGGCCACTGCCTTCCTGACCACAAGAGGCACCCCCTGCTCTTCACTCAGCGTGTTGAGGTTAACCCTTTCTTTTTCTTCATCTCTGCTTCCCTTAACACTTACATTCATTCATGCCCAATAGCCTCAACCAATTAACCAGTTAACAAATATTTAGGACACCTAATAGGGATGTGTGGGTGACCAGGACCAGGCCATGGCACCTGCCCATTGTCCCAGCTTTCCCTGCAGGTGCCCAGGGAACTCACCGCACAGCCCGCAGAGCTGGCCAGCATAGGAGGAAGGCACCGTCACTCCCACCAAGTGGTTCCCATCATAGCGAACCTGAAGCCCGAAGTTTGTGTGGAGGAGGATAAAGGAGCCACTGAGCCTCATGGTCACCCGGCCTCCCATAAGCCACATGGGTAGGGCCACCCGATGGCCATTCAGCTGCAGAGACAGGGAGGACATAGTAGGGGGAGTCAGGAGGGAACTCGGGACAAAGACAACTAGGGGAGTAGGAGGGGGTGGCAGATGTTTCACAGAGGGAGGAGGGGATCCAAGAAAGGAGGGCTGGGTCTGCTGTGGGGTACCCCCAGGGGCTCTAAGAAGCCACACGGGTGGACATGTGGGCCAGGAGGAGCCGAGCAGGCTGGTGGTGTGGCGTCCAAGAGGCAGCGGGGAGGTACGCACCACGACCTTGCGCCCTTTGATCAGTGAGATTCTGAGCTTGAAGACCTGCACGTGGACGGCCCTGACGTAGGAGACCTCTAAGTTCCCATTGCGGTTCTCGTTTGTGGCACTGACAACAAAGTAGTTCTGTCCGGATCTGGTGAAGCAAGGCCGGGTCAAGGCATAGGTGCAGGTGCCCATGAAGTGGTGCAGGGCTCCATCAAATGTCAGGTAGTGGGGGTCACCTGAGGCAGTGCAGGTGGCAGAACCTGGGGAGAAGATGGAGCTCAGACTCTCAGTGCCCCACACCCTGGAAGCCCTGACCCAGGACTGTCATCCTGCCAAGCCTGTGTTGGGATGGTGGCCACACCCATCCACAGACTTGGTGTTTTTCTAGGAAGTGTGGTTGGCTTGGCTTGGAGATGTCAAGGAGAGAGACTGACCTCTCCAACTTTACTCCTGCTCTGGGCAACTGCCTCACAGCCCCTGATTGAGCCCCAGCTCTCTGGGGAAGCTGCTTTGGGCAGGGTCGTCCCCCTGCTTGAGGGCAACAGGGCAGCTGCCCTGCTCCTCCTCCACCCTGACTGCTCACTTTGGGCCTGGCAGCCATAGACGCCATCCTGCTTGCCACAGAACTCCTGGGCATTACACCTCCAGGGCTGGCAGCGAATTTTGTTGCTGGCTTCACAAACACAGAGTTGTGTGCAGCCCGGCTTGTACCAATGCTCTCCTACCTGAGGGAAGGCAGAGGGGAGGAAGGGAAGGTGGTTTGTTATCAGGTCTGACACAAGAGCCCACTGCCATGCAGTTCGCTGGCATATTCAGGCAGAGGCATTTTGTCTTTCTGAAGGTCCATGCTTGGCTGCAAAAGTCTGGCATCCATTCACGGATTCAGTCACTCGATCATCATTCACTATTTCAGCAGATATTGATTTGTCTGTACTGTGCTAGGTGTTAGGAATTCAGGAAGGAACTAGATGGATAATGTCTCTGTCCTTACAGAACTCACAATCCAGTGGTGGGCAGTAAACTAATGAATAACGTGCTCCAACATGATGTGCATCAAAGAAGACAATCAGGGCACCCAGAGACAGTTTCCTACCATGGACTCAGACAATAAGCACTTGCTATGAGAGATGCTTTTTTTTTTTTTTTTAAAGATGACCAGTAAGGGGATCTTAACCCTTGACTTGGTGTTGTCAGCACCACGCTCAGCCAGTGAGCGAACCGGCCATCCCTATGTGGGATCCGAACCCGGGGCCTTGGTGTTATTAGCACCTCACTCTACCGAGTGAGCCACGGGCCGGCCCGAGAGATGCTTTTTGATGTTGCTTATTAGGAGGGCTTCAAGGAGCAGGGAGCATTTCAACAGGGTCTCCAAAAAGGTGAAGGATTGATTCCAACAGGCAGAGGTAGCTGGGAGGCAGAGCAGGGGGAAAGAAAGGGCTGAACAAAAGGCCAGAGCAAGGCTTGGACAAACGGCATTCAGTGGCCCAGCCTGGCAGAGGGCCACAGGGATGTCAGGCGTGGAGGTCTTTGTTGGACAGTAGTGCCATTCCCAGGTCTTGGGTGAGGGCTGGACAAAGAAGAAAGGAGTGCCCCAGACAAGGGTCTGCCTCCTAAGAGGACTAAAAACAGGGGCACAGGTAGCGCCGGGGTCCTTCAGCAGAGAGAGGGACCCTAGCTGGGAGAAGACAGTGTTTGGAAAGAGTGCAGGTAAGGTACAGAAATGCTCCAGCCTTTGGAGAACAGAAAATCTGGGCAAAATGACTCAGTGCAGTGGTGGCAGAGGGGCAGCAGGGAAGATGGGAGGGGATGGAACTCAGGGTCTGAGCGTCTGCAAGGCAGTGGGGAAACAACTGTGCTAGGATTCCACCCCAGTCTGTACAAAAAGCACCAGAGCTGAAGAAAGAGAAATGAAAAATAGATCAGGGCCCAAATTTCCCTAATCCCAGCCCTAAATCCCCTGTCCTCCCCCCCCGCCACCACACACCTTCTCCTGCCCTCATCCAGGGCTTTTCTGAGAAGAGCTTCTGCAAGATCACACAGGGAACAAATCGGATCTGGCTGCAGGGCTGAGAGACCCCCCGCCTCCCATCAGCCCCCCCAGCTGCTCACCTTGAAGTAGCTCCCTGTGGGGTCGATGCACCCACACTGGGATCGGGGGACACACTCGAGGCCACTGAGGACGAAGCCCGGGTTGCACTCGCAGGCCTCCACACACTGGTCTGGGCAGTACATACCAGAGAATCCTGAATGGCAGGTGTCAGGGCATGGCTTGGAGCACAGGGAGTACTTGCTGTTGGGCGGGCAGGCCAGAGCTGGTGGCGAAACCAGACAAGGGGGAGAAAAGAGAAGAATGTGCTCAGAGGGCCCCCAGCTGGAGGCTGCTGACTGATGTTAGGGGAGAGCGACTGTGAGAAGCTGGGCCGAGGGGCCGGCTTCCTGCAAGCTAAGCAAGCTGCCTGCGCTGAGAGCCTTTTGCTCAGACGCTACTGCGGACCTGCCCTGGGAGCAGACGGGCTCACGAGTAGTGCCGCTGCAGAGTGAAGAGTGAGGGTGCCTCTTGCGTCAGGAAGACAGTGGGTCTGGAGTTGACAGCGGGTCTGGAGCCAGGTCTGCTGTCTTGACTACTCCCTCCCCAGGGAACTACAGCAACAGCACCAGGAAAGGGCCCTGGGCATGCCCTAAACACAGCCTCAGGAAGCTAAACAGCTTTTCTGAGTGTGCAGTGACTATGTGATTGTCTCAGTGGATGTCTCCAACACTACACATTTCCCTGTCCCAGTGTGGAAGTGAGGGGTTCAACCAGCTGCACCCCGAGCCTGTGCCAACGCTCTTGTCTGCATCTGAAGGAAGGGTCCTCTGCCCTGTTCCTGGGCACAACTCACGGCAGAACTGGGGCCCCCGCCAGGGCTTCACGGCATGACCGGCATCCTGGCAGCGCATGGTCATAGCCGACATCTGGGCACACAGCATCGGCTGCATCCCCTGGAAGTTGCACATGTCGAACACACAATTGTCAAAGTAGGGAGTGGCCTTCAGGTGGAGCAGACACACCCTGCAGAGAGAGGCCGAGGCAAAGGCAATAGAGGGCAGCACCTCCCGGCCTCCACCTCGGAGGGCCCCAGGTTCCCGGCAGCCCCAGTGGCCCTGCCTGCCCTCCTTCCTACTCAAATGGTCCACGGGAGTCCACGAGCCGCCCACAGAACTCTGGCCCCGACATGCTGCTCTGCAAGGCTGCGTCACACGACGGGGGATTCACCAGGTTCTTCTGGCACCTAGAAGAGACCCCCCACATTCCCTAAGGACCAAGCTAAGCAAGCTGCCTGCGCTGAGAGCCTGTTGCTTCAAGGTCAAGGGCCCCTAACCCAGCAATCAGTGAGGCTGAAAGAGCAGGCTCGCAGCTC